GATGAAAGCGTGAAAATAGCGCCACGTGTACATATTCAATCATTTTAATATTAACAAATGAATAAGTTTAATTTACATTTAATTAATTTAAATTTAAATTAATTGCATTTTTTTTTTTTGTTACAATTAATAATTTGTTTATTTAAATTCCTTATCCATTGCTATAATAAGTTTTATTCCAATATAAATAATTTTGCAAAAATAAAATTACAGCAATTTATTTTATTTTATATGAAATGATCCAAACAAAAAATACACCTACCTATTTGTCAATTATAATTGCTATGAATTTCTAAATTAGAAAGTAAACAAATCTCGAACACTGCTATAAATAATAATAGTAATCATATTTAAATAGCTAAATAGCTTAGCTAAGTTTTTTTTTTCTTTTTTTTTAACATAATATTAATGTGGTAAAATTGTTTACTTGACTTTTGTATAAATTTTATGCTATTTTAAATTAATTTTTTTTTAGGTATAATTATTAATCGAATTCATATTATTCATAGCTATCAAAAATTTGACTGTCAAAAAGTAATTATAAAATTTTTATGAATAAAATAAACATTTACAAACTGTCATTGATTTATCATCTATTCATTTGCCATTCAATTCAATAGCATTTTTGTTTTTTCAAATTTGAAAAACAAAAAAAAAAATTTCCATATGTTGCATTTTCATATGTTTTTTTTTTTTTTTCATATACATTTTGAGTATATGTAAATTTAAAAATTTATATTTCATTTACAAATAACATACATACAATTTCAAAAATAAAAAATGACGAATTTTCGACGTTTTTTTTTGTAAAAATATCTTTGCACATACAAAATACATTTTATTAATTTTGCTTTTTTTTTTTTAATATTTTCCATCTTTCTTTTTATTATTATTAATTTCAATCCCTTATTTAACAAAAAGAAAAAAGAAAAAAAGAAAAAAAGAACTACTACTGATTAAAAATGTTAAAAATGTTAAATGTAATAGAATGTTTGTGTAATATAATCGTTGTATTATTGTTACAAAAAAAGAAAAAAAAAAAGTTTAAATATGTTATTTAATAGATTTTAAATAGCAGATGTAAGTATATGAGAGAAATGTTGAAAAAAGTGATATGATATGATAAAGCAGATGTGATAAAATGATATCATATCATGTTGAAACATATGTTTTTCAAATGCATTAACATATATCAGTGGAAAAGATAATAAAACATTCTCCAATTCTCGTAATATCTCGCATGTATTAGTATTTCTTGTATTTTTTTTTCAAGTTAAAATTAGATAATTTTAATTCAACTTTATAATGGCTAGCATTTAAGGTTTAACATTTTATAATTTATTAACAAAACATTTTCCTATTAGCTAATTAATCATTCTCCTATTAGTAATTAATCATTTTCCTATTAGTTAATTAATCATTTTCCTATTAGTAAATTAAAATCCATTTTCATATTAGTTTAATTTCAATTAACATTGTCAATTGAAATATATACATTCTTCTAGATTTAATTATGCTATAATCGAATTAATTTATTAGAGTTTAATAAATTAATTTAGTTAAATTTAGTAAAACTGAATAGCTAATACTTATAATTGGCTATTAACATTGAAATTTATCATTGTTAAGCTGCAAAATGTTAAATTTCTAATTGTAATTGTAAACAAAAATTCAATTAAACAAATTAAATAGTGGTGGAGTAGGGTTAAATGTAAGTTAGATATTTTAGAGTATTATTTATTTTGCAAAATTTTAAACTATTATTTCATCTTTTGCTTATTTTTATAATTATTCATCTTATTATATTACAATTACTGAATTGAAAATAAAAAAAAGAAACCATTTTAAAAAAGAAAACTTTTTAAATATTTTGATGACAAATTCTTCTTCTCTTCGTTGTCACCAATAAATTATTAACTTTTAATTTCACTTCAAATTAAAAACATTAACAAAATAATTTGCATATATATAATTTATTACTTTCATTTGTTACTTTCTTATTTATATTTACTTATATTTGTGTATGTGTGTCTGTGGTATGTGGTCTGTGTGTATGTGTATGTGCCTCATACATACATATGAAAACTTTTTGTTGAAAAATCAGTCTAAATCTAACTAAAGCCTTCCTTTTCTCTCTCTCTCTCTCTCTTTCTTTCTTCCTTGGCTTGGCCTCAAACCCTACTAGGCTTTCGATCTAACTTTCACAAACTTTTTACTTTCCTTTTTTTTTTGCATCAATTCTTTAATACTTATTATGTTAATCTAACCAAAACAACAAACAGAATAATAATCACATATGATTGTATCATTTTTCATCTTATCACTTTGCTTATCAATCTCTTTGCTCATTATCAGTTGACATTGATAAGATAAGAATTGACAGATAAGATAAGAAATGCAAATGGAATTGAAAATTTTCTTTTCAAAAAAAGAATTTACAGACGAACTTTTCCGGAAACGTAACTTTTTTCCTGAAATTTTCCGGATACGTAACTTTTTTCCTGAAATTTTCTGGATATGTAACTTTTTTCCTGAAATTTTCCGGATACGTAACTTTTTTCCTGAAATTTTCCGGATATGTAACTTTTTTCTCGAAATTTTCCTGATACTTAACTTTTTTCCTGAAATTTTCCGGATATGTAACTTTTTTCCTGAAATTTTCTGGCTTTTCATTTATGTGCTATATAAGCTTTAAGTTTCTTTTTTTTTTTTAAAACTCATTCTGTTATAGTAGCATTTTTCATTCGTTTTATTGATTAAAATAAAATTTTAATTTTAATTTTTTTCTCTCTTTTTTTTTTTAATTAAAACTTTTTTCGCTTTTATTCATTTTATACATTTTATCCATTTTATCACAAAATTATCACTCCTTTTTATTTTTTTTTTCTTTTTAAATCTATTCCAAATTTTTATCTTCTTCACTTATACTTTTTTTTAAAAAAAAAATTAATCAAAATAAAAATAAGAAATGAAATAAGAAGAGAAGATAGAACAATTTCCTTTTTTGTAACTTTTAAAATTTTTAATTCAATTTAGTTAGTTAAAAAAAAATGCATGATATAAGCAAATTTGCATTTATCTTTTATCAGCAAGTTATCAATTTTTACTTTGTCTGAATTTGTCTGAAATTTTAAGATTGTTTTTAAAAAAAAAAATGTAAAATTAATAAAAATATAATTTACTCATTCTAGCATTATGCTAATTTTGTCATAAATGACGATGCTTTTGAATAGAAGAAGTGAATTTTTTTGTTTGTTTTTTTGAAAATCAAACGATTAATAGTATAAATGCTTTTTCAATTAAATTTAAATAAACTATCCTAAAATTATTTTTTGAACCATCCTAAATTTAAATAAACTATCCTAAAATTATTTTCTGAAGTTTTTTTTTGACACTTTTATTTTATCAATTTTGATTGTTACATAGTTATATGTATAACATTGCAGTATCATAATTTCATACGTATGGAAGTCATTTAACCATCTTAAATATTATTTTACAAATTTTATTGCTCTATTAATTAATAAAAATTAAATTAAATTAATTTAATTTAATTGAAATATAAAAAAAAGAAATTTATAATACATATTAAAACGATAATTTGTTATCATTTTCATCTATAATTAAGCAAAAATTAATGCAAATTAAATTAAATAATTTATTCGAAATAAAAAATAGGAAAATTTTATTTATTTCTTAATCATTAAAAATATCTTTTCAATATTCTTTTATGAAAAAATGAGTACTGTTGTAAATTTTGAATAATATTACAAGAATAAAAAGAAAAAACGATGAATAGTAGTAATTAATCTAAATAATAGTAATCATTAATCTTTTGTTATTGCTACAATTTACCTTAAATTGTAAAATAATTCAATTCATTTTTAAATGTTACAATTCCTTTCTAAATACTTTAAATTGCATCTTTCCTTTTGTGGGTTCAAAAAAAAAAAAAAAAGAAGGAAAGAAAGAAAGAAATTTCAAACTAATTAGTTTGTAATTGTTATTATTCACAAACTAACTTTTCTATTAAAAAAAAAAAAAAAAAAATATTTCGTTTTCATTTATTTTTTTGAATAAATTTTATTGAAATTTTTGATTGATGAAAAATGCATTTATTCAATTTACACAATTTGAGCAAAATATCTGCTTTTTTGCGCTTATTTATGTGCCAAATATTTTTGATAGAAATTTATCAAAGTATTTAGATTTAATCAATTTTTTTTCCTTTTTTTTTTTTTTTTTTTGATTGCCATATTTAAATTTGATAGTGAAAATATGTCAAATTTAAATTACAAATTTGATTTATTTTTATTTTTTTATCTTTTTTGTAAAGTAATTTTAAATCATGGAATATAATAAATATTTTATCAATTCAATAAAATTTATTATCCAATATATTAGAATATTTTTTTTTTTTTTTAACTTTGCAATTTTTTTTTTGACAATTTTCATAAAGAATTTAATTTGGGAATAATTAGTTTTTTTTTTTTTTTAATTTTTTTATTTTGCTTTTATTAAATATATTCATTTTGATTTATTTCTTTCACAATCATAAATATAAAAAAATTATTTGTTTAATATTAAGCATAAACAATCTAACTTTGATTTTTATAAAATCACTATTATATTGTATTTTGATCATCAATTAATTAATTAATTAGCTAATTAATTTAATATATTATTGTTTCATTTTGGTTTGCATAAATTAATTTGTCAATATATGTAATTTTTTCTTCAATTATAATTATTTTAAATATATTCTTTAATGTTGTATTTTGTTAATAATTTTGTCATCGATGCATAAATTATTAAAATTGAAGAATTAAAGAGAAAAAAAAAAAAGAAAAAAATTTTGTTTGTTAAAAATTTGCATAAAAAGTATTATTTTTGCAGATTTTGCTAGCGAATTATATGGAATGATCAATTAATTATTGAAATATTTTGAAATGTTAAATCAAGAAAAATCACCGATATTTAATGGTTAAACTTTACAATTTATGATATTTCTTATAAGTGCTGCAAATTGCATACCGGAAAAACTGCAAATTTCACACCGGAAAAACGGATTATTTATCGCATTCTCATCAATTTGCACACCTCAAACTATCATCTTCACAAGACAGGTAAACTTATTGTAATTTTTATTGACATCTAAATAATATTCATCAAATTATTCCTTTAATTTTAATTAAAATTTTAAGCAATCGATCATATTTCCATATTTTATTTACCTGAAATACCTGAATGAATTTTATTTTCTTTACTATCTCAATCCATTAATCATTTAATTACGAACTTATTAGCATTTTTAATAAAATAATTTATGAACAACTTCATGTATTTATTATTATTTATGAACTTTATGCATTATTAATTAATTTTTTTAATTTATAAACTTTATGTATTATTAATTAATTATTTTAATTTATAAACTTTATGTATTATTAATTAATTAGTTTAACAAGTCATATCCATTCTTGAAAGTGAAAAAAATTTTTTAACAAATTTTTCTTTTTCTGCCATTTAAATTAACTTTTAGAAATTTTATCATTATATCTTATCATTATATCACTTTCTTTTCCTAAAAAAAAAAAAGAAATGATTATCAAAAGTTTTTGCATAAATTTTTTGCATTAAAAAAATTATTTTCAACAAATATCATTAGCAATTAAAATGTACTTCAAACTTTTTCAAAATAAGAAAATTACTACTTTTTTTTTTTCAGAAATTTCACTTTTAATCATACATGTAATCTTTCTTTTCAAATTGCTAATTTATCATTTTAGTTCTTTTTTTTTCTTTTTTTACAAAATTTACGTTTTTTTTAATATATTTTTTATTTTTATATATTTATTTTAAATTCGAAATTTTTTTAAATTTAAATTTTTTTTACAAATTATTTTAACAATATGATTTAAAGGAATTTTTTTCAGGAAATATTTGCAAAATTGAATAGATTAAAATAATGCATCAGTAGGAAAATTAATTAGCGTTAATTTTAATCAACAATTTTATTTATTTATTTATTTTCTTTTTTTTTTGAAATGATTTATTTATCATAACTTAAGTCATAGTTTAAAGTTATAAGTTAAATTATCATAGTTTAATATATCGTAAGTATCATAATTAAAATTGTTTTCTAAAATGACTTTAATTTTTTTTTTTTTTTTTACAATCATATTTTAAAATACTTTTAGAAAAATGTCTTAGAATGAAAAAAAAAAAAAAAAAAAGAATAAAATTCTTTTCTAAAATTATATAAAATTATTTAATGAATATCATTTTTCTCAAATAAAAAGAAAGTAAAATTTTTTTTTAATGACTTAATTTTTAATTAGTATAATTTCTATAAAATTATCAATATTATTGATATAACTTTAATGATTATCCTGAAAAAAAAAAAAAAAAAGATAACAAAGTATTTTCAATTTATCTAATCACTAACAACAAACTTTTGCAGTAATTAAATTAGCTAACACTTAATAATTTCATTTTTAATTTATTCAAAAAATTATTGAAAATAAATTTTATGATAAATTACAGCATTGTTTACTTTTATCATTTTGAGCATTAAAATAAAATGCTTCAATCGAAATTTGATGATGAAAAGGAAGGAAAAAGCATAAAATGATTTGAAATTACTAAACTGATTGCTTGCTTATGCATTTGAAATTTTAATTTAAACATAATCTCATTTTAAATTTTTTTGTTTTTCAATTTATATTTGTCTTCCTTCTCTTCTTTTCATTTTATCTTTTCCTTCTTTTTTTTTTTTTTAATTCAAACTTTTTTAAAAATAAATTTATGCAAATTTTTTTACTTCAAATCGAAATTAAATTATAATGCACAAACGACGAACATTCATCGTTTCACTAAGTTTTACTTTTTTATTTTTATTTTTCCTACAACATTTATCATTTTCATCTTTCACAGTCTTTTAAAAATTAAACATTTTCGTTTCTTTTTTTTTTTTTTTAATAAATTTTTTTTTTAAATTATTGATTATATTCCATTTTGTTAATTTTGATAAAATTTATCAACCAAAAAATAATTTTATCAATTTCAAAAATTATAATAATCATTCCAAAGCATTTTTTTTTGAGCATAAAATATCCATTGATAATGATGAATGAATAAAATTATTTTCATTTTAATTCTTAAACAATTTTTTTTTTTTTTAAAGTATTAATTAATTTCAAATTAATTTAGATACAATAACAGAAATCAAAAATATATTAATCAATATGAGTTTGCTTATCAAAAATTTATTTATTTTTCATTTCTAACATATAACTTTTTTTTTCTTTAAAAAAAAAAAAAGAAAAATCAATTATCTATGAGCAAATTAAAAATTTAATAAATTAAATATTAAAAAAAAAATAAAATAGTAATATTTATTAAGCAGATTGGTACACCTAAAAATAATTATTTGTTTTTTTCAAAAATGTTTCAAAATTATATTTATGCGATTGCTCCTAAAATAGTTATTTTAGAAAAAAAAAAGTTTATTTAAAATTGGAAATCAATTTTTTTTTTCTCTTTTCTTCACTAATCTAGAAATAAAAAAAAAAAAAAAGAGAAAAAACTCTTCAAAATTGATGATGACAAAGTGAGAAAAAAGTTTAATTTATCTATTTACAGAAAGAAAGAGAGAGAGAGGGAGAGAGGGAAAGAGAAAGAAAGACAGAGAGAGGGAGAGAGAGAGTGAAATAAGAAATAAACTAGAAAATTGCTTTTGCTTCTCGAAAAAAAGAAAAAAAAAACATACATATTGTATTTCTAAATTATGTGATTTCTTCCATCTATAAATAAAATTTGTTGAAATTTTTATTTTTCAAAACTTTTTTTTTTCAACATTTCAACAAAAATTTTTTTTTTTTAAGAAAAAAAAGGAAAAATAGAAAAAAAAATGAACAAATAAATGATATATTTAAAAAAAATTTTTATATGTTTTATAATCTAATTGCAATATATTTAAAAATTATTTTTTGATTTTTTTTTTTAATTCTATCGAATTAAATTGTTCTATCATTTTTGCATAATTTGTTGAAGAAGACAGAATTTGATTAAACTTTTAATTTTATTTTCATTGATTTTTCCTTTTTCAAAAAAAAAAAAGAGAGATTTAGCATCGTTAGCTTAGATATTGTTATATTCTTAAAATTGCTACTTCAAAAAAAAAAAAAAGTTTCTAAACTTTAGAAGCTTAATTGATAGGTTTATCAATTTACAATTTACTCATCTAATTAGCATTGCTTATTGTTATATCAAATTAAAATTTTGCTTGTAAAATTTTCACTTTTCATCTTTTCTACATCTTTTGTTAGAAATATTTTTAACTCAAAAATTTTTAAATCAAATAATTCAGTCATTTGAAAAATACTATTTGTTTCATTTTTAGCTGTGAATTCTAAATTAATTATTCATATTAAAATATTAATTTGATACGAAATGATAAGCTCAAATTAAAAACTAAAAACTTTCGTTTTTATTTAAAAAAATAAAAATATGCTTTAGACTTGTTTATTTACAATTTTTAGTTAAGAAATAAACAATAATTTGAAAAATTATAGCAATCATAGTAAACAATTTTAAAATGAGTAAATGAAAAAAGGACACATTTGATTGTCACACAGAGAGAGAGAGAGAGAGAGAGAGAGAGAGAGAGGGAGAGAGAGAGCTAAATGTTGAAGTAATTTAATTCAAAGAATTTCCTTCATTTTCTTCTTTTATTGCTGGCAAAGTAATGTGTAAATAAATAAATGATCGAGAAATGATTGAACTGATCTAATGATTAGCCAAGAAAAAAATAATTTTTTAGCTAAATTAATTAATTTATTCTAACATTTATTTATTTATTTATTTATTTTTCCTTCTATAATCATTTATATTCAAATCTTAGCAATTTGAATTTAATTTAATTTAATTTCGGTGTATTAAATAGTTTTAGCAAAATTTAAGAGTAGCAAAATATAATTTACTAGGGCACTACTAAATTGAAGCAATTTTGGCTAAATTTTAAATTTAAAAAAAAATTTTTTAAACTTTAATTTTAAAATAAAACAAATGCTTTTTTCTTTTCTCATTTTAGCTTCAATTATAGGATTTTATCATAGCAAAAGAAAAAAAAAAAGAACTGCAAAATTTCATAAATTTAAAGCAAAAAAAAGATTTCAAAGTAAAATTAAAGAGTAAAATTAATTTATTATTTCAATTTAACTATTCACAGCTTTTAATTAGTCTTTAATTATTGTCAAATCAAAGTTTCACCTCGAACTTTTTGTAAATAATGAATTGATTAATTAGCATCAAATTAAAAGTATTATTTTTATATATTTCTTGAAGAATCGCAATGATTTCTATAATAATAAACTCTAAACTCTAATTAATGAGGTCATAAGGTTAAGTAAGTTTGATGATAATTCAATATTATTCGCAAGCAACTGATTTCATTTAACTTAGAAGCTAATTCAAATTTATCAAAATCTAACTGATAGCTTTTGGATATTAGTGTTTGAAATCATTTTATCAGTTTGATAACTAAAAAATAATTTACAAAAAAAAAAAAAAAAAGGAAGCTTTATTTATCTGAAAAATAATTGATTATGCAGAAGAAAAAAGGATAAACAGATCTTTTAAATGCAATTGTAAATTATTATCAGAAATAAGGCTATCATTTCAGTAATTAGTGAATTTGTGAAAGAAACTGATTTATAATAATAATAATGATAACAATAATAATAACGTTAATAATAATAATGATAATAATAATGACAATGGTAATAATAATAATGATAGGAATGATAATAACAATAATGATAATAATAATACATTAGCTTATTATTTACAGCAAAAGTTATTCTTAAAAAAAGATAACAAATATTCTGAAATTGAAAGAAACATTATCTATTACTCATTATTATTGTCTAATTATTAAATTTATATTTCATTTTAATTTTTTAATCATTATTTTATTTCTCATATCCATTGTTGACCTATAGTTGATCAATCGATGACAAATGTAAAAATTAAAAGTGATAAATTAAATTAAAAATCAATAATGATAATTACCCAATTTCTCACTTATAAAATTATCATATTCACCAATAAAACAAAACAAAAAAAAAAATACCAGAAATTATCAGAAACATTAAATTAATTTCAATAAATGTACAAATTTGTTATTCTCCTTTTTCTTTTTCATTTTTTTTTTTTTTTTTTTATCATTTTCGTTTTATCATTTATTGTAGAAATAAAACATTTTATATTATCAAAAAAAAGAATAAAATTTTTTTTAAAAAAAATTTTTATATTTAAATTAAATAAAATGAAATTTTTTTCTTCTGAATAATTAATAATGAGAAGAATATGCTTAAAAATTTTATCAATTTTATTATATTAGAAAAAAAATTTTTTCTTTTTTTTTTTAAATGAATTGAATTTTTATAAAAATATTAAATAAAAAAAAAAAAAATTGAATATTTAAATTACAGGTTATCATCACGGGGCAATTATCACGTTCTCAGGTACGTGCAATTATGTCACGTTTTGATTCGTATTCACGTGAAGAGCAGAAAGCATTTATCAATGGTTTCCTGGGAATGATTTATGATAATTATGATACCACAAGACGTATTCAAAGTACCGTTGATGGTATCAATCGTATTGTTATCACCATTCTTATCATTTTACTTCTGTCTGCCACTATTGCATTATTATTTGCCTGTATAATGGGTTGTCGAAGGTATCAACATTATACCTTTCAAAGCCTAAATAGGCCTAAATCAGAACCTATCGAAATATAATTTTAATTTTAGGATTATTATTGCTATTATTTATTTCTTCTTTTCATGGAAATCTCTTTCTTTTTTACATTTTTTAAACTTTTCATAAAATATTTTTTACTTTTAGCTATTTTTTATTTTTTATTTTTTTTTTTGCTTTTTGCATTAATTTAATTTACTATTGTGAAATGTAAAAAAGAGCAAAAAAAACGAAAAAAAATTGTTGGATAAATAAGTGAGAAAAAAATTTTTTTTTTTTTTTGATATTTAATTTTAGCATATTTCAAAAAAAAAAAAAAATGAGCTTAAAAGCTTTAAAAATAATATTTGTGCATGTTTGTTTAAATGTAAGTTTCATTATAAAGAATTAATCAAATTTTTTTTTTTGCTAAAGTAAATTTATCTTTTTAAAACATCGCTTCATTTCATTCGTTTTCTTTTTAAGAAAAAATTTTATTAAAAAAAATTTTTTTTTTTTTTTTGGTTGTTTTGAAAAAATTTAAAATTGTAAAAAATTAATTATATATTTTGTTGCATTAATTGAAAAATTATTGTTCTATCTTTCTCCTTTTCATCTTTCATTTTTTAGCTTTTCAAAATAAGCTTATTATTTATAAATTATTAAAATTGCCAAAGAAAATTTTACACTTAGAAATGATTTAAATTGATAATACCATTTTATTTATAATTTTTGATTTTTTTTTGGTTCGGATGTTTATGTTATGAAAAAATTTTTTTATAAGAATTTGTTAATAATTTAAACAATTTAATTTTTGAATCAAAAACAAAAAAAGAATGATTAATTTTTTTTTCAATTAAAAAAAAAAAGGGAGAAGAGATGAATTGATTAATTAAGACATAAATATTTTAGAGTTAAGTTAATAACAAAGTACAGTAAACTGAGATGATGATGATGATACTGATAAGGTTAGAATATAAATACTTATAATTGAAATTAAAAGATTACAATTACTAATTTATAATTACTAAATTACTTAAGTATAAAACGATAGTCTAATATTTCAGATAACGGAAATAATAAAACATTCGAACCATAAATGAAATAAATTTGAAATATATTTATAAATTATTGTTGTATTTTTTGCTCTAAATATTACACACTGCGATTTAACTATTTGCTAATTTCATATTTAATATTTTATTTAAATTTATGCAATTTTTTCTTTCTCTTTTTTTTTATTTTGTTTTTTTTAGAAAATGCAAATTAATTTTGTGTTCGTATTGAAATGATTAGATGGCAAATATTTGAAATAAAAAAAAAAAAAAGATGAAATTTAATTTTAAAAAAAATTGTTTTTTCTTTTTCAGGAAACTAAATAATAAGTAAAACTTAATTAAAGTCTTCCTAAAATAAATATTTATAATAATCTAAAAGTTAGCATAAATATTTCTATGAATAAATGATAAAACTTAGGAAAAAAATTTTTTTTTTTGGTTAAATTTTTTTAAAAAAAATTATAATTTTAAATTAGTCGAATGCAAATTTATGTTTGCTAATATTTGTTTTTTTTTTCTTTTTTTAACTATAACGAAATGAAATAAAACAATCGAAAATTTAAAATGTTCAAATTCTGTGGATAATTCTGAAAAAATCAATAATTCAATATAAACAAAAAAAAAAGAAATTAATTTTCTCTCAAAAGTCTTTTCTTTTCCTTTTTTTTTTTTTTTTTGTTAATATATTAAAATTAAAATTTTTTTTTAAATTATTATTTCTAGTATAAACAAATATGAAAGTAGAAAAAAAAAGCAAATGAAAACTATGCAAAAAGGCTTTTTTTTTTAATCAAAAATATCACAAACAAACAATTTATTTTAACTTTGAACAACAAAAAATAAATTTTTATTAGAATTAAAAAAAAAAAATGGAACAAAAAATTTTTGAAAAATAAATTATACAAATCGAATCAAAAATAAAATAAAAAAGACAATAAAATGAATCAATTAATAAAAAATTGAAAGATTTTTCTTCCTTTTTTTTTCTGTCAATCTCTCTCTCTCTCTCTCTCTCTTATCATTATCAATCAAAATTAACAAATTTATTTTCGAGAATTATTTGAGAAAGAGGGAAGGAGAGAAAGAGAGAGAGAGAGAGAATAAAAAAAAGTATTTGCTATAGAAATATTAAATTTTAGTTTTTATTAACTGTTTAAAATTTGATTCAGCTATTATGAAAAAATGAAGCGCAAAATTACATTACTTGTATATTTCGTTGCATAAAGCGCATTAGTCGAATTTTTAACGAAATATGCAATACTATTAAAATATCAATTAATGATACAAGAATTAAAATAGTATATAAATTTATCAAAATTATTGTACCATAAGCGTTATCAATTGATATCATTATCAGATTGTTATTGTTTGTGCAACGATATTTGATATAAATTTAATTATTATTTGTCGCTTTTTTTTTTTTGCACTCTTTTGATAGCAATCAAGAATGTCAACCTTAAAAAAAAATGATTGAAAATTAGTAAAATAAATAAAAAAAAAAATTTCAAAAAGAAATAATATTATATTTTATTAAAAAAAAATTTTTTTTGTTTTTTTCACTTCAAAAAATTAATGCAATTTTTAATTGATATAATTACTAAACTTAATCAATTAAAAATTAACTCATCAATTTTAATTTTATATGATTATTTTAAAGCCAAACAATAGTTTCAAGAACAATAAGAGCTTAATCAATTTAACTTTTTAATTTTATATGATTATTTTAAAATTTTAATTTTATATTATTAATTTTATATGATTATTTTAAATTTTAATTTTATATTATTAATTTTATATGATTATTTTAAATTTTATTTTATATTATTAATTTTATATGATTATTTTAAAGCCAAACAATAGTTTCAAGAACAATAAGAATGTCAATAACAATAAGAACAATGAGAATAATTTTTTTAAAAAAAAGGAAAAAAATAATAGTAATTTTATATTTTACCATGTACTTATTCGTACGACCAATCTCACAATTAAATAATTTAATTATAATTAAATTTTTTTTTAAATTGCAGTTTTTAAACAAAAAAAAAATTCAAATTTTTTATTTATCAATCGTATTTAAAAAGTGTTAATTCAATTGCAATTATTCATTGTTTACAAATCATACATTTATGATAATTAGCTTCGATAATCAGTGATAACATTTAAAATAGAAATGGTAGTACTAAGTGTTGTTATCAGTAAATTGATTAACTGATATATGTAATATCACTCACATAAGGCACTAAATAATTTCTAGAAAAATCTGTAATTAATTCTTATTGATTGCAATCAATGTTTACAATAATAATTCTATCATTTATATTTCTAAATTATGTGTTAAATTTTAGCAAAATTTTTTGATGACAAAATCAGAAATTCAAGCTAATAAAGGGAAAAAAGCAAGAAAGAGTAGCAGTTCGTCTGAAATTATTTTTGATGACAAAGTGCAGAAACTTCAACAATTAATTGCCAATTTGGGAATCGAAATGCATCCTATGATGGTCAATTTAATAAATTTCATTCACATTATTTAATAATTAATTAATGAATGTGAGAGAATCTGAATCAGATACGCTAGTTGCGGAGAATCTGAATCAGATACACTAGTTGCGGAGAATCTGAATCAGATACACTAGTTGCGGAGAATCAGAATCAGATACACTAGTTGCGGAGAATCAGAATCAGATACACTAGTTGCGGAGAATCAGAATCAGATACACTAGTTGCGGAGAATCAGAATCAGATACACTAGTTGCGGAGAATCTGAATCAGATATACTCGTTGTGAAGAATCTAAAACAGATCAGAATCAGATATACTCGTTGTGAAGAATCTAAATCAGATCAGAATCAGATATACTCGTTGTGGAGAATCTGAATCAGATCAGAATCACATATACTCGTTGTGGAGAATCAGAATCATATATACTCTTCGTGGAGGATCAGAATCAGATATACTCTTCGTGGAGGATCAGAATCAGAAATACTCGTCGTGGAGAATCTGAATCAGATATTTTCTCTGCGGAAAAGCAAAATCCGATACTTTCTCTGCGGAAAACAGAATCACATATACTCGATGCGGAAAATCAGAATCAAATACTCTCGTCTTAGAAAAGCAGAATCAGATACTTTCTCTGCGGAAAAGCAGAATCAGAGATACTCTCTCCCTTCCTAAACCCATTTTTATTATCCTTAATAATACTTACGACATTTATGTTACCTTTAATTATTTATTTACAGGTATGAACTTTTATAGAAGTAAATAATTAAAACAAAAAAAAAAAGTGCAGTTGTTGATTAATTAATTAACATTAAATATTTAGAATGAACAAAATGACTGTTATGATGATGAATTAGAATTAAGAGAAGAAAATTATTTTGGACGACTTTCTGAATTTTTCATCGAAAACAGATTACTCAAAAAATCAGGTAGTAAACATAAAAGGAATAAATAAATTTTTCTCTTTTTACATCAAAAAAAAAAAATCAGAAATAAAAAATCTGAAATTTGTAATCAAATTTTAATGAAATAAAAAAATAGCATAAAATTACTATGCAAAAAAAAAAATTCATAAATTATTATAAAATTTTTATTTTTATTTTTTTTTAGGTGATTATATGATTTCTCGTACACACAATGATAATTTCCGCTTTTCATTAATGTCTGAAAATTATCAAATATATCATTTATCAATTATCAAATTTGATGGAATATACAGTTTTGAAAATGCCATCTATCCATTAGCTACTTCTTTAGCTGGATTAATTCACAAATGTATTCAAAGTCCTGTAAGTTAAACTAAATTATTATCTAATTTAAACAAAACAATCATTTTAAAACTTTTTTCAAAAAAAGAAAAAAAGTTTTTCAGATGAATATCTTATCAGCAATATTACAAACAAACGTAATATTACGTCATTTTATCAATCCAAATATCAATGATAAGAGTGATTATAGTATAATTGGTTTATTCCTAAATGAAAATGATATTATCAAAAAAGATAATCTTATTGCAAGAGGAAAAATTGCTGATGTAATTAAATTTTTGACATTTAAAAAAAAAAAAAAATTTAGCATTGTTAAATTATTCCAAAAAAAAAAAAAATTAATTAATTAATTATTTATTTAAATTATTTTTGGAAAAGTTTTTATATTTTTCAAAAATTAATGCTAATTTATGTATTTCCTATAAGTTAAACTAAATTATTATGTAATTTAAACAAAACAATGATTTTAAAACTTTTTCAAAAAAAAGAAAAAGTTTTTCAGATAAATTATTATGAATCGAATTTTTTGTTTTTGCAATTAATTAATTATTCCTTTTTTTTTAAAAAAAAAAAAACAGCAATATTTCTACAATAATCACTGATACTATTATTATTATTTGGCTAATAAAATTATAAATAAAATAAAAATTTTAAATTCTTTTCAAAATATATTTATATTTTAATTATTTTAAATTTTAAAATGAGAATATTTTGATTAAAATTTTCAAAAACTATTCGTAGTTTTTAAATAAAACTCAACGAATTTTTTTTTTCTTTTTTTGTAATTAATCAATAATTTCATTTTGTTGAATTTTAATCTTTGATTAAATAATTTTTCCTTTTTTTTTTTCATTTAATTTTCGTAAAAATTTTTTCAAAAATATTTTAAAAAATTTGACGTAATTTTTTTTTAAAAAAAAGATTAATAATTATAGTGTTTTGTTGGTAGATTATTTACAAAAAACAAATGTGAACAAGTGATAATTAAAATAATGCATAAATACAATCATAATGAACTCAATAAAATTTGTCAGGTAAAAAAATAAAATTTTAATTTTTAAAGTGCAAAAAAATTTTTATTTCAACAAATGCAAAATAAAGTTTTAAAAATAAAATTTTATGATATTAAAAAAAAAAAAAGAAAAAAATTATGACATTAAATTATTATGATTTAATATTATCAAATAATTTCTGATTTGATTTAATTTAATTCAAATCGAATTCAAATTTAATCTCTGATTTAATTTAATTCAAATTGAATTCAAATTTAATTTCTAATTTTAGGAGTTGCATATTTCAAATGTATTACGACGATTCACAGCCATTGAATCGATTGTAGCGGCGCAATGTGTACAAATATTTCAATCACCATATATGATCATTTATCCATTCATGAACTGTGGCTCATATCTAAATTTTGCGCAGCGCATGGGACAAAGTCTTACTTTTAAAAATAAGATAGAAGTAAGTATATTCTGATGAGGTATTCTTTAACCTTATGCTTAGGTTTATTTATTATTAATATAAATATTAAATGAATATGCGCTAATGTCTCATTTAGGCAGCACAGACAATTGCGCATGCTTTATCTGATATGCATTTTCTGGGATTATTGCATTGTAACATTGGAGCTAGAAATATATTTGTAAGAAAAGAACTAATTACTAGTTCAAAGGTCAAGAGTTATTCGTCATCATATTGCTATAAGTATTATTTGGGTGACTTTCGTGACTCTCATATTGGAAAGTAAGTAATAATTTAAATTTTTACAATTTTTTTTTTTTTTTAAATTTTTTTTCTGTTTTTTTTTTTTTAAAGAAATTTTTGTATTAATGTCAGATTAAATTATATAAATGATATGTTTATTAGTAGAGAATTTTTTTTTTAATTAAATTTTGAAAAAAAAAAAAAAAAGAGAGAGAAAAAGATTTTTTTAAGAATCAAAGAAGTAAAACCTAAAAAATTGAGAAATATTCGTTGGCTTGCACCGGAAGTATTTAAAACGAAACAATTAACAGAATGTACCGATGTGTTTGCATTTGGCATTACACTTTATGAAATTTTCACCGGAAATTTACCGTATTTCTCGATGAGTATCGAAGAGATACAAAGTAAACTGATAGCTGGACATAGAATACGACCTGGTTAGTAGATTATCAATTATCAATTTTATCACTTCACTATAACATCTTTTTTTTATTTAAAAGATTAAAAAATACACTATTAAATTTGCTATTGAAATTTTAAATTTAATTTCTTGCATAATTTTAAATCATTTATTGCATTTATGATAACAAATAACTATAACAGAAAAGTAAACTGATAGCTGGACATAGAATACGACCTGGTTAGTAGATTATCAATTATCAATTTTATCACTTCACTATAACATCTTCTTTTTTTTATTTAAAAGATTAAAAAATACACTATTAAATTTGCTATTGAAATTTTAAATTTAATTTCTTGCATAATTTTAAATCATTTATTGCATTTATGATAAGAAATAACTATAACAGAAAAGTAAACTGATAGCTGGACATAGAATAGATTATCAATTATCAATTTCATCACTTCACTATAACATCTTTTTTTTATTTAAAAGATTAAAAAATACACTATTAAATTTGCTATTGAAATTTTAAATTTAATTTCTTGCATAATTTTAAATCATTTATTGCATTTATGATAACAAATAACTATTAACAGTATTAGCTAAATAAAAAATAAAAAAGTGTTATTTTTTTGAAAAATAAAATTTTTTGATTTTTGAAAAATTTTCGATAAATAATAGTTAATAAAGAAAATACAAAAAAATTTCAGAAATGCGTGATATTAAATTACCTCAAAATGTACTGAAATTAATGAAACGTTGTTGGCGTACGGACGTAAGTGAACGACCAACAATGAATGGTATTTGGCTAGAATTAAGAGCAATTAGAAATAGTTTAATTTTTAAACAACAATATGCTAAATTTAATTTTCAACAAAAAACAATTTAAAAATTTTTAAAAAAATTCTTAAATGCAATATTATTCTCTTCGATTTTCTTTTTTTTTTTTTTCTTCTATTAGATAACCATTTTAATATAAAAATTAAAATTTTGATAATTGCATTAAATTAATTTTTTTCTCTTGCCAAAAAAAAAATATCTTTGATATTTTACTAAAAAGAAGAAAATTAAAATTTGTAAAAGAGAAATTTAATTAAAAAATAAATTGCAAACATTAATCTCATAGCAATTTTAATATAAGAGAAATGGAAAAATTAAATGCAAACAAATAGAATTAATTTTTTTTGTTCATATTGAATTTTATTATTAATATTATTCAAATAAATAAAAGTGCTCTCATAAACAAATATCAAATTTTTTTTTTTCCTTTATTAGCATCAATAAATTGCTAATAAAGCATTATTTGAAGCTTTAATTATCACAAAAAAAAAAAAAAAACATTGTAATTAATTTATTTTAATTTTTAAACTAATTTTTTTTTTTGAAAATTCCTTAATTTCAATAAATGTTTGATAAAAGATAAAATGAATTTTAGTTATTTTTTCAACTATGCCAGGTAAGGAAAGGATGTATCATTGAGTTAAATTAAAATTTCATCAGCAAAATTAATAAAACTTTTAATTAATCATGGTTTTAATTCAATTTAGGAAATAAAATTAAATTTTATTTCAAATTTAAATTTTGATTTTTTTTAAAAATCTTAAAATTTGTAATAGTTTTTTTTTTTTTTTTTTTTTTTTACATTAAAGAAGGAAATTGGTTCTAAATTATCAATTTTAAATAGCATTTTTTTTTTTTTTTGAGATTTACCTAACTGCTAAAAGTCAATTATCTTTTCAACATTTAAAAGGAATATTCAAAAATTGAATGATAGATCAAAGAAAGGCTATCAACCGTTAAAGGTATTGAAAGTAAAATCATATGCTTATTCATTTGCTATTCGATGAAGCATAAAATTCAAAGTACTTTTCCATTAAGCTTTAATCAGCACATCTAAACTAAACTATCATAGAATAAAATATAATACTGCTTAAGCTTTTAAAGAAAAAAAAAAATATTTTGTTATATATTTAAAAAAAAAAAAAACTTTTATTTCAACTTGAATTATAATTGCTAATTGCTCTAATTATTGGTAAAGTTAATCTTGCATTAATTGAAATGAATTTAGTTATTTTTGTGTGTATTTTATTTTTGTTTATTTTGTCGTTTGTTTATTTTATCCGACTAATCGATAAATTTGAGCAAATAAAGTTAAATTATTAATTTTTATTGCAAAAATAAATAATTTTAACCAATTTTTGCATTAATTTTTCTTTCTTTTTTTTTTTTTTTTTTTTTTTTTTTTAATTCTGATGATAATAATGGCTTATTAAGCAAAAATTTTATTTTAATTTATTTTTGTGATAAAAAATAGGAATTATTAATCATTATTAAAAGTTAAAGTTGGTTTGTTATTAAAACTAATTATTAAATGTTAGAAAGAATTTGAATCCTTTAATATCAAAAAATTTGTAAAATGATTTCTTGAAATAAATTTAACATTTTTGTTGCTTAATTATCCAAAATATATAACTTTTGTTGAAAAATTTTTCGAGATCAAGAATCAAATACTATTTTTACAAATATTTAATTAAAATCTAAAACAATTATTTAAAGAAAATTTCCAAAATTTTGATTAATTTGATAAGAAGTGACATTGTATATAAGTTAAAAAAAAAAGAATATTCTTCAAAATACGAATAAACAATTAAATAATTATTTAAAAAAGAAAATAATAAAATAAATATTTCAAAAAAAAAGACAAAAATCTTTTTTTTTTAAAAGGTCATTTTTTTTTTAAATAAATTAAAATTGCTAAAATTGTATGTTTTCCTCCTTTTTTTTTTGCAAATAAAATGATAGTTTTTTGAGAGAGAGAGAGGGAGAGGAAGAGAGAGAGAGTATGTTATGATTTTTTTTTTTTTTGCTCATTTCTTGTTAATTTTAATAAAAATAAAATTTTAAACAAAAATTTATTTTTATTTTTATAACAAATAAAAAAATGATAAAAATTATTTTAATTGAAAATGCAATACAAAAAAAAAAAAAAAATATATTAATAATTTGTGATTTCAAATAGTTAATTTTAATTTTTTCATTTTAAATTAATTATTTAGTAATTTTTCTTTTTCTCACTTTTTCGAAGACATTAAATTTTAAATTAAAAAAAAAAAAATTTTCAACAAAAATTGATAAAATTAAATATTATTATAATGAATTGATGCATTTCATCTGATTGTGCACAAAATTTTGATTCCATTGGGATTAGCAACAGAAATGCTTGAATAACACGCGGCAATGATTAATTTTAACTGATAGAATCTTGAAATTTGTATGGTTGCCAGGCCAGCTTGGCCATCATTACTTTATTGGCTGAGTACAAATTTTACAGCACATTAGGCTCAAAAGTAAAGTAAAAGCCAAAAGAGAGAGAGACAGGGAGAGAGAGAGAGGGAGAGAGAGAGAGGTTAAATGCTTGATAATACCCAAAGGAAACCGAAATGAGTAATATAATAATGAATGAATTGATCAACTCAACAATATCCCACTTCTGATTCATTTATGTGAGCTAATGCTATCTGACAGTTTTAGAATTCATTAACACTATTTACACTTGTTAATTCTCGATAATTTTATTTTAAATAAGTGATAATGATAAGGTTAGCCTAAAAATAGCTACTTAGATGATAAAAATAAGTGATAATGATAAGATTAATGATAAGATTGGCCTAAAAATAGCTACTTAGATGATAAAAATAAGTGATAATGATAAGATTAATGATAAGATTGGCCTAAAAATAGCTACTTAGATGATAAAAATAAGTGATAATGATAAGATTAATGATAAGATTAGCCTAAAAATAGCTACTTAGATGATAAAAATAAGTGATAATGATAAGATTAATGAAATAAGTGATAATGATAAGATTAATGATAAGATTAGCCTAAAAATAGCTACTTAGATGATAAAAATAAGTAACTAATTATTTTATTTATAAAAATAAGTGATAATGTTTTTTCTAAAAAAGAAAAAAAATTTTTATTTAGAATGAATTTTAATATTTTTAATATTAATATTTTCAATATACTTTTAATGCTAATAAATTTTAATATATTAGAATTAATTTTAATATTCTAATTCTCTTTGTTTATCAAATTTTTATTTTTGAAATTTTTTATTGTAACATTTACAATATCTTTAATGCTAATCAAATAAATAAACGCATTCACTCAAATTTTCCATCAAAAATAAAAAGTTTACAAAAAAAAAAAATTAAAGGACACAAATTTGTTTGTTTGGTTTTTTTTTTTTTTTTTGTTCTTTAATGCATTACTTCAAAAAAAAAAATTCAACAATTCAATTATTGTTTTAATTTAAATTTAATTTACCCTTCTTGGCTCATTTTTAATAAAAATGAGCCAAGAAGTTTAGCTTTTCCTGAATTTTAGCATCCGTAAAAAGTGACCTACTCATATCTTAAAATTATATCACACAGATTGTTGACAAAACGAATTGCATTAATGCATGAAATACACATGCATGCATGCATGTGTATGTATGTATGTGTGTGTGTGTGTATGTGTGTGTATGTGTGTATGTGTGTGTGTTGTGTGTATGTGTGTGTGTGTGTGTGACAAGCGATAATATCAGTGAAACATACACGAAATGAAATACATTTTGATAAAAATTTTACGAAAAAAAAATCTTTTCCTCATTTTCAATGAAAAGTTCCGCCCATTTGCAAATTTGAAAATTTTTTTTTTTCATTTAATATCAAAAAGCTATTCGATCTGATCTGATCTGATACCCATCCATCACCTTTCAACGGTTCTTTTATTCTTTTTATAAAATTAAAACTTTCAAATTCTTATCAAAATAAAATGATATCCTTTCTATCAGTCTTTTACTTCTCTAATTGATGTGACATACATATAAAATTATCGTAATTCCTACAAAAATATATGGAAAATTAAAATTTCATTTTAATTTTTAAATTCACTTTTTTAATTTTTCTAATTTATTGCTACTATCATCATTGTTATGTATTATTCAACTTAGTTATTATTAATTTTTTTATTGATTATTGTACCAAATTTTAGTTAAAATTTTGAATGAAAATTTTTATGAAATTTTTTCAAATTTATAATTTACTTCTTAAAATGAAGAAAAATCCCAGTCACAATTAACATTTATATAATTTTAATAACTTGAAGTATTACGCTATATAAATTTTAATTAATTTAAACTTTTGGAATATTTATTATGCGTTAACTATTTTTGCAAATAAAATTATTGAACTTTTATTTGTATTGATAAGAATATTGATAAGAGTGATTTATCTTTTCTAACATAATTATTTTCATTATCTCTCTCTCTCTTTCTTTTTTACATTGCTAATAAATTAAGCTTAATTAGTTGATTAATTTGATTAATTTTTGTTTAGGATCAAAATGATTATGCATATGCTAATTAATTTAGCAATAATAATAATAATACAATTGCATTTAATACTTTCTACAATGGAAAATAATATTAATTATTGGATTGAATTAGAACTTCAAGCAGTACATTGGAGACCAACATGCTTGACAACAGGTGGTTGCGCAAATCCACGTTTTCGAATTTCTAAATTTAATAAATTTAATGCTGAAATTATCTCAATAAGTTGGAGTATTACGGAAAATTTTGTTGAGGTTAGTTTATTAACTTTTTTTTCCCTCATTTTTAAATTCTTTAATTTTTGAAATGATTATGTTTTAAGAAAAATTTACCGATTTAATTGTCATTTTTGATTACATTTCCGATATTTGTTTCCTTATTATTTTTGTTTTTTTTTAAATTCTTCTTTTAAAAATTTTAGTTAAAAAAAAAAGAAACGAGAATAAAATTTTTATCATTTTTATCTTCATTATCAATGCAATATCTAAAATATCATAAAATTAAATTTTAAAAGTGAAAAAGAAGAGGAAAGCTTTGAATTTATTAAAATCAAAATTAAGCATAATTATTTCTGAAAATTTTTTGCTAATTCAAGCTTAAACTAATAGTATCAACAAACTATTTAATATTTATTTTTTAACAAAAAAAAAAATCACTTGAAGAAGTTTTAAAGTTTTTTTTTTTTGAATTAATTAAATTTTAATTGTAGCGACATTCTCGAAAATTCATTACTCATTGGTTAAATGGTAAACCACATGAAATTACACTTCAATGTGATGTCATCGGCATGGATCCATTGTATGGATTTTTACGAACTTGTGATACCACACAAAATATTGAAATATTCAAAGAAAATAATGAATTTCAGGTTTTCATTTTTATTAAAATATTCAAATAATGAATTTCAGGTTTTTATATTCATTTAAATATTCAAATAGTGAATTTCAGGTTTTTAAAATATTCAAATAATGAATTTCAGGTTTTCATATTTATTTAAATATTTAAAAAAAAAAGGTAAGAAAAGAAAAAAAATGAACTTAAACTTTTATACATTTCTTTTTTTTTCTTAAAATTTTCATAGCTTAATTTTGCTAATCAATAATACAATTTATTAGTTTTAAAAAATAGAAAAAAAAAAAACAAAACAAACATTATTACAAATGTATGCTTAAACTCTTTTTCTAAAATTCTTATTTCAAAATTTATTGTCAATATTAATTACTAATGAGTAAAATAATTGATTATTCGAATTAAAGTATTTATATAATATAGCCTTAAAACATCGTCAAGATAAATGTTTCACGTACGTGAAGATAAATTTTTCACGTACGATTAAATTATTCCTTGTTCGAAATTTTAACATATAGCTAAGCTATTCATTGCTTATAATTTATCATACACTAATGAAATGAATGAAATTTATAATTTGTTGCTGATAATTACAGCAAAGTTATTTGTCTCCTCTTTTCTCTTTTTTTTTTTTTTTTTGCCAGCAATTTTAAAATTTTTTTAAAAAAAAATTTTTTTTAGGAACTTAACACTTATCAAATGTTAGCATCATCAGAAGATGAATTATCAATGAATGAACGAAATGGTAAACTTATTGTTGAAATTCGAGCCAAATGTTTTAATGCTTCATTTATTGCTCGAAAATATATGAAACATTGTCCGTGGTGTTCAGCACCAGATGATATGACACTTATTGAATCAGCACCTGAGGTAATCTATTAATATTTCTCATTTTTTATTATTTAATTTCTAAAAATGTTGAAAAAAAAGTTTTCGTTTTTTTTTTTTTTTTTTGAAATTAGAATTAATTTAATTTATTAAATCATTTTATAATTTGGTGTAATTTAATTTATTAAATCATTTGTAATTTGACATAATTAATAATTGCTAAAATATTAGTACAATAATTAATATTTTAATAATTTTTTTTTTAAACAAATATTTGAAAAATATTAGTACAATAATTAATATTCTAATAATTTTTTTTAAACAAATATTTGATAAATTATTAGTACAATAATTAATATTTGAATAATTAATATATCAATTACAATCTTATAAATATCAATTATTAATTACAATCTTAAAAAGAATATCAATTATAATTTTATAATCATACAATTTTGCAGTATGAAACAATCAACGATGATGCTAAAATGAGTTTGGCAAAGAAATTTGTGCAATTTTTTCTTGGCGAGCAAATTTTGCTAATATTTTTGCTAAGCTTATTACTGATAAGCTTACTAGGCTTAATTTGCTTACTTCTAATTATCAGTAAACAACGTCATTTCATTTCATTGCTACAAAAACGATCACAACCTATCAATCATCTTAATTCATATCTTTATTCAAAACAATTTTCAAAATCAGTTAAAAATGCTGATGATAGGTTAGTTTTCATTTATTTACTTTCTTTTTTTTAACAAAAAATAAATAAAACAATATAGCATAGTAAACAATTTTATTTGTTTACAAAAATTACTTTAGAAAAAAAAAAAAACAAAATTGTAATTTTTAGGTATGATGTACCATGGGATCAACATTGTATTTTGCAACGATTTTGGATTAATGATAATTCAAATATTGATGATAACAAACAACAAACAATGATTGCTTCAAGAATATCAAAACATCCTTCAGCTTCATTAGCATATATTCCACGAAAAACAACAATCACTGGAACTTTGTCAACAATTTCAAAAAGACTATCACCTAATTCATCACTATGCGAGCAACATGAAGATAGTGGCTTAGAATCAGTTTAATTAAATTTTTTTTTTTAAACTAAATTCTAATTTTATAAATTGTGTCCAATTTTAATAATAATATATGATTGATGATGAAGTGATCTGTAATTAGTTGCAATTAAATAATTCAAAAATTTTAATGTTTAAATAATAAATTTTTAGCTAACATTGATTTTTGTTCTTTTTTGTAAAATTTAACAATGACTAATAAATTTTGATAAAATATTGCAAAAAAAAAAAGGAAAATAAAATCAACAACAAAATATTCATTTGTCAAAAAAAAAAAAAAATTTATTCCGCAATTACATTTTGACTAAAATCAGAAAAATGGTGATGGAAAGATGAAAAAAAAAAAAAAACCCATGGGAATGAAACTAAAACAAATTTTTAGCTTATTGAATATTCAATTTTAGTATTGGTGACAATTCTTTACTATAAATTTAAGAAATAAACAATTTTTTTATTTTCTTGAAATATAATAAATTATTATAACTTTTTGATATTATTTTTGTACAGCAATGTTTGTGTGACAAATGCGCCCTACAATAATCATTTATATTGTGTAATTTTTATTTTCTTCATTTTTTATTGTTTCATTTCTGTAAATATTTTACATATCAATGAAAAATGAAAAAAAAAAAAGGATAATAATGAAATAAAAGATTCTATTAATTAAAAAAAAAAAAGTATAACAAAGTAATTCAATTAATTTTGTAAATGTTTCCAGCATTTATAAAATTTTTAACTTAAAAAGATTTTTTAAAATTATGGAATAAAAGTAATTTTTATTGTAATATGTAAGAATTAGAATGAAAAAGTTATTCTACTTAATGTGAGGAAATTTTTTAATTTTGCTAAGCAATAAATTATTTTTTTTTTTTAAACTGAAGCTAAAAGTTGAAATGTAATCGAATTAAATTAAATTTATAAATTAATTTATAGTTAATAATTTAAATAGAAAATTTTCTCCTCTAAAACTAATTTTTTCTTTTTTTTTTTTTTTTGTTCTAATAATTAGGGTAATAATTTATTCAACAATTTATATTCTGAAATAATTTTTAATTAGCGAAAATGCTAATTACTTTTTTGCAATTTGTTATTGGATAAAAATTTTGATCTTATTAAAATGAAACAGTAATTAGTGATATGATAGTGATTAAAATGAAACAGTAATTAGTGATATGATAGTGATTAAAATGAAACAGTAATTAGTGATATGATAGTGATTAAAATGAAACAGTAATTAGTGATATGATAGTGATTAAAATGAAACAGTAATTAGTGATATGATAGTGATTAAAATGAAACAGTAATTAGTGATATGATAGTGATTAAAATGAAACAGTAATTAGTGATATGATAGTGATTAAAATGAAACAGTAATTAGTGATATGATAGTGATTAAAATGAAACAGTAATTAGTGATATGACAGTGATTAAAATCAAACAGTAATTAGTGATATGACAGTGATAAATATTTTAAATATTATGAAAGAGATCACGATCATCCATGAAAGTAATGATAACTCGATACGATCACTAAATGACCTCTAATCAGTGACCTCTGTCTAATAATTACAAACAATCTATATACATACTTATATGCTGCATAACAACAGGTAATAATTAAAACTATTCTATTGTTTTATTAAAATTATAATTAATCAACAAATGATTGACAAAAAAATAAAATTTTTTGATAATAATTATTTTAATTAATGAATCAATAAATGCATTAACTTAATTAGGTGACAAATGAACTTAATACATTTTGATGTTATCTTTTCATAATTACAAATATAATTTGCTAATTATGATTAGAAAAAAATTTTGAATGTGAAATAAACAAAATAATTGATTGTGTAGGTTAAAATTAATTTTAAATTAATTATTTTAATTTTTTTTTTTTGAGTATAATAAAACGATAAATATTGCAGATTATTAATATTAATATGCGATTATCATTTGGTACTTTGCTTTGGTACATTTTAACATTTTGTCATATTTTATCAGCGCAATTTTGGACAGATGTTAAACTAGAAGAATTGAAATGGTTAAATGATTGTGATTTAAGTAATACCTGTATTCAACCAACACTTCAATTACGTCTTATCAATATACTCAATAATGAAACTATCTCTAAAACTCTAATTGTTAACTTTGATAAACAACAGGTTTATATTTTTTTGAAATTATTATTATTATTATTATGAAAAAGAGAAATACGATTTTTTTTTTCAGAAAAAACTTTTACAAGTTTAGTTAGTTTATAAAAATTTAAGACAGGTAAAACTCATTTAATATCATATTGGAGTGAAGGAACACCTGATATGATAATTTCAAGTATTACTATTAATGGAATTGATCCTGATTATGATTTCACAAGACTTTGTGATACAACTGGAACTATTTTTCTATTTCGATTACCTCAAATGGTAAAGTAATTATCTTTTTTTTTTTTTCTTGTTCTTTATATTTGTTTATTTATTATTTATTTGTTTATTTATTATACATTCATATTTGTTTATTTGTTATTGTTCATATAAATAGCATAATGATTAATTATAATAATAACTGCATTAATTGTTTCAATTCAAGAATTATATTAGTCAGAAATTAATTATAAAGTAATTTTATCATGAAATAATCATTGTTTGGTAATAATTTAGAAAAATATGACCGAAATGTCAGGTATGTGTTTTAAAGCGCAGTTAGCTTTTACCAATTATTCCGATCAATGTTCACATTTGATTAATTCGACAACCGTAAGTAACGGATCTATCTGGCAAAAAATTTTAAGTTTTATTAATTATGAATAATGATTAACAGATTTCATTTGTTTTTTGTTTTTTTGAAATGAATAAATTCCAAAAAAAAAAAAAAAAAAAAAGAAAATAATGAATAAAAATTTTGAAATGTTTACAACTCTTCGTATTATAACATCAAGAATTTGAAATTTATAAAATTTGCGCTGATTAATAAAATAGAATTTTATTTTGAATATAATTTTAATTATTCATTATTGTTCCTTGCTATCAACACCATTACAAATAACTTATTGCAAAATTTTATTGCAAAAATTTTTGAAAAGTTTAATCAGTGCTTAATTTATTCGTAAAATTATTACTAAATAAACGAATAATGCACAAATATTTATAAATAAATAAAAGTAAAGTTAAAATATATTGAAATTTTGATTCAAACAAAAGAGATAATACAATAAGTATTGTTATTGATCAATTCTTAGAATGATATGATCATAATAGAATAGTAAATAAGAATGAAATAATCAAATATGTCAAATTCATTTAAATATAATTAAATTTAAAGTAAATTAAAAAAAAAAAACAAAATATAAAATTAATAATGATAAATGTAAAATTACATAACTTTATTTGTATAATCTCATTTTGTATCTTTCACACCCTTAAATAAATTAAATTAAAGATTAAATTAAATTCTAGATATTAACTTATGAAGAGGGTCAAAAAGGTCAATTGTATATATTTATTGTTTATTATTTGAGAACAGAATGAAACTTTATCATTTTCAGGTTCAAACAAATCAAAACATTTCTTCTCTGACAATAACTACTGGCTGTTTAATTACATGTTTAATGCTAATTTATATTTCTTTCATTATAAATCGTACTATAAGAATGGAATCTAAAAAAGGTGCACAAATTAAACGGTAAAACTTCATTAATTAAAAGTTAATCATTCTTAAAAATAAAACTTTTCCATTGGTATATTTCTTTTTTTGTGTTCATTTTCACATAATTTTAAAACTATTAAGTTTTTTTTTTTCTTTTCGTTAATAAGTTATATCATTTTTTCGTTAATAAGTTATATCAAAAAGTTCTTTTTTTTTTTAATTAGATAAATGATTTAATTAAGAAAAGTTAATTTAGTATTTGTTATATGTTTAGAACATCAATATCAAAAGCATCGATATCAAATGCTATTTCATTAAATCCTACAAAAAATTCCAGTAATTATGTAAAATCACAAATTTTACCGATTAGTATTGAATCAGAAAATGCGAATTTAATCAAACCTTCTACCATTTTGTTTACTCCAAAGCATATATTTTCTGCAAATTCATCATTTTGTAGTTCAATATAAATAATACATCAATTGTGATTAATTATTTCTACATAATTCTTTCTTCCTTATTTTCAGTGCTATTTTAGTTAGTTTTCATTAAACTATTACAATCTCAATTTTATTCACTGAATCAAAACTTTTTTTTTTTTTTCTACGGTATTGAGGAATAGTAACTATTTTGTTTTATTCTACTAAAATGCTTCTAGTTATAATCATTTAGTTATCCTTTTTTTAAAAAAAATGATTGATTGAAATTACAATTTTTTATCAAATTTATTATTTTAAGCTCTCGAATGCCCACGAGAATTTTCAATGATACTTTCTGGTTCTTTGTCTTTTTTTCTTTTTTGAATTTAACAAAATTTGACAGTTTGTCGCTAATTCATCACGGTGTGATAATAGATAAGCAATTCTAAAAGGCACAACAAAGCAAATGTCAAAGCTTTAATGAAGCCAAAGGTTATAATTACTATGATATATGATGTACGTCAAATTGACGTTACCGTATACATTTTCCATATACGTATACGTCAAATTGACGTTACCGTATACATTTTCCATATACGTATACGTCAAATTGACGTTACCATATACGTTTTCCATATATGCATATGTCAAATTGACGTTACCACATACGTTTTCCATATATGCATACGTCAAATTGACGTTACCATATACGTTTTCCATATATGCATACGTCAAATTGACGTTACCATATACGTTTTCCATATATGCATATGTCAAATTGACGTTACCATATACGTTTTCCATATATGCATATGTCAAATTGACGTTACCATATACGTTTTCCATATATGCATATGTCAAATTGACGTTACCATATACGTTTTCCATATATGCATATGTCAAATTGACGATACCATATACGTTTTCCATATATGCATACGTCAATTGACGTTACCATATACGTTTTCCATATATGCATATGTCAAATTGACGATACCATATACGTTTTCCATATATGCATACGTCAAATTGACGTTACCATATACGTTTTCCATATATGCATATGTCAAATTGACGTTACCACATACGTTTTCCATATATGCATACGTCAAATTGACGTTACCATATACGTTTTCCATATATGCATACGTCAAATTGACGTTACCATATACGTTTTCCATATATGCATATGTCAAATTGACGTTACCATATACGTCAGTCATATACGTTTTCAATGAAACATATTTGTACTGCAATACATCAATAAATTCTGTTTTATTTTTTACATATTTTCATACTTCTTTGATTTCTATTTCACTAATCTTTGTATTCCTTAAATTCCATCAAACCAAATTCTCTTTACTACCAAATTTTATAATTTGTTCATTTTTAAACTAAATATTAGCAATGTACGTAAGATATGGTACCGTACCGTTTTCATTCATAAACTACAGCATGTTACCGTATTCTTTTTATTTATAAAGTACGATATCACTTACCTCATGTCATTTTCTGTCACAAGTCGAGCTGTACTGTAACATTTGTGTCACCATTCCGGTCAATGTTGTTTTGTAATTGATGTTTGCATAAAATGTCGAAATATTTTAACTATTTGAATTAAACCATGTATAATATTAAACCATGCATATACAATTAAGTATGCTAACATTTGAGCAATTACAAAATTTATCACAGAATCATTTTTGATTTAAAATATTTTCTCAATTCAAGGTATAAATCATATATTAAGATTTTTATTTCTCTTAATCAATTAGTTGCATAACAAAAAAATATTTAGAAAGAAAAAAAAAAAAAGAAAGAGAAAAATGAATTGCCATAAATTGAAAACATTTTTTTTTAAAAAAAAAGAAAAGGACATTTGGGAAACAAAAAAGTTAAAATGAAAGTACTGTTAATGATAAGTAAGCAAATACATTTAATCGAAAATAAATGAACAAGAACAAATCATTAAAACAATGAACTGAAACTCTCACTCTCGCATTAACAAACATTACAACTATCAAAACATTTTGTTGCAATGAGATTCCAATTTTCATTACGTCACACCAAACCTTTTATATATAATTGCACGTTGAAACCATTTGGGGTTTCATTTTCCACGTGGATTGCGTCATTTTTTGACGTAAAGTTGTTGTTATCATTTGCTTATTGTCTTTTTATGCATTTGATATGCAACTATTTCTTTCACTCAGATGACAATTTATAAAATCAAAGAATAACGTTGTTTAGGATTTCTTGAATACAGACGCAGTGTGAAAGTTAATAATCTCATCGATTGTAAAATCATAAATTCTTTATTTCAAATAAAGTCTATTTCTGATGTTTATTATTTTTTTTTTTTTTTTTTGAAGAGTGGAGTTTAGTTTTGTGAAATTTTTTAGTTGTTCCATGATAACCAAAATAGTATGATCAGTGCGCATCCCGTACAGTTTGGTTTGTTATTAAGAGATTCTTTTTATTTTTTGAATTTAATTTAAAGCTACTCTTAATCCGTGTTTATATCTGCTTAGTATATTTTTTTTTCTTTAATTACTGATGTGTAGCAGTATTTTCAGGATTACTTTTAATGTATTTAAGCAATTGGCAAAAAATGAAGCACACTGAAGCAGAAAAGCTCTTCCTCGAAAAAATGGCTGTTCTTAATAAAACATTTTTGTATTTCATTCAGTGTTCCGTTAAAGAAATGCCTGATGCAGATTTGGTTATTACTTTCTTCTTTTGGTCAAAAAAATTTATCTATTTTTCTAAAACAAATCTTTGAATTATTCTTTGAAATTAAAAGAATAAGTAAACCGAGGTTCATTTTATTTAACGTTCATTAGATAGATAAAATGAACTTATTGGTTTTCAGTCACCTTGCGTTCGTGATTATCTGAAACATGTCGAAGAACTGGATCGAACTTATGGGAATATGCCTAATGGGGATGATAACGCGCCTACCGATAGTGGTAAAAAAAATGAAGTTATCAATGATTTATCGGAAACAAATCCATCAGAAAAAGACCTGGACAATGGAAGTGGAATGGAGATGAACTCTAGTCCTATGCAAGAAAAATCTGTATCCAGTGCGATAACATTATTTAGTAACACTACAAATTCGGCCAATGTTTCAAAATTTTCATTGGACGTATCTACAGCATCATCATCTGGATCAGGTAAACATTTGCCTTTCAGTTCTTTAAACTGAAAAACAAGCTTATTAAAACTGCTTTTCGTTCCCGATGTCTACCTGTAAACGTTTTTACAGGTCTTTTAATTGCTGTTTTATACTTCAAAATCTGAACATATTTAAAATAGCCTTTTTTTTTTTCTTTAAAGTGATATTGCAGAGTTAAAATGTGGTATTGTTA